GCCAGCCAATAGGAAGGTTCCATGATTTGCATTTAGTGCAACTAGTACTACTAGTAGACCATTTTGGCTCTTACTAGTACTACTAGTAGACACTTTAGCGCCTACTAGTAGTACTAGTAAGGTCAAAAAACGTCTACTAGTACTACTAGTAGACATTTTTGCTCTTACTAGTACTACTAGTAGACACTTTAGCGCCTACTAGTAGTACTAGTAGACGTTTTTGCGCTTACTAGTAGTACTAGTAAGACCTAAAATGTCTACTAGTAGTACTAGTAAAGATTTTTACACTATATTTAAAGGCAAAATGAATGAAAATATGCTTACTAGTAGTACTAGTAGACATTTTAGGTCTTACTAGTACTACTAGTAAGCGCCAAAATGTCTACTAGTAGTACTAGTAGATGTTTTAGCTCTTACTAGTAGTACTAGTAGACATTTTAGCGCTTACTAGTACTACTAGTAGACATTTTAGCGCCTACTAGTAGTACTAGTAAGGTCAAAATGTGTCTACTAGTAGTACTAGTAGACGTTTTTGCGCCTACTAGTACTACTAGTAGACCGCATGCAAATGAAGCAGGCGGAAGAAGGATTTTTATTGGCCAATATTCAAACTGCGTGCTGGAGAGTCTTAAAGGACCAGCTCTGAATTGTAAGTTGAGTTTACAGATTTTCTCAGTTGGTTTTGTACGTTTCTCAGATCTGAATTGAAATTGTCGAAAACAACTTGTTCAGCCTCCACATCGCCATCATCATCTCGTCATTTGTGCACATCATTAAAGCAATTTCCCGTTATTTTGGAGAAATTGCAAATGCTTTGACACATTGATGTAAATATTTATGTATGTCTGCTGTTGACAACATCATCAAATGGCACGACACATTGTCAAAAGCTTAAATAAAGTCAAACTTTAATTTCATTCTCCACAATCAAGCTGCAAGAAATGTTGTTTTTGCACATCGTCTCTGATCCTGCAGCCGAAGAGGCTTCTGCGCGCTTTTCACATGGTCAAATCTAACCAGTAGGTGGCAGCAGACATCTGCGTAACGTCCAGAGACGCTGGGATCATGAGCGAGACATCACAAGAAAGCGGTTTTAATAATGTTGTTCATCGCGTTTGGAATGCGCTTGATGTTGCCAGACGGGAACTGGCGTCGCAGAGGGACGAAGACAACCTGCTGAGAGCCACAAGGAGCACATTTAGGAGGCGAAGAAGAGCGGGTCCGATGGCAGGTAGTTAGCATTAACGTTACAAGTTTAAAGTCAATGTCTGCATTGTCCTTTTTACTGTCACCGCTAACTCACAAGTGGCTTCCAAGTTCTTAATGTGTGACATTTTCCACTTAATGTTGGAACGGTAGCTATATTTTATTAAGCATAAGCTAACGTTACTGTTCCATCAGCTGGTCGGCGGCTGGCAGTTACAGAAAGTAAGTTAAGTTAGCAACAAAATGTGAGAGGTTAAGTGTATTGATCTAGTGACTGTAAGAATGTAGGGCTGTCCAGATTGTCATTTTTGAGCTTCGTTAAGTTAGAATAAACAGCGGATTGTTGACGTTACGGCGGCCGGGGGGGGGGGCGGACAAAGTCTGGCTGCAAGTGAGAGACAGAGAACCAGAGAGCTCCTTTGCTTTTCTTCTCATAGCATAGGCAGATTAAAACAGCAGGTTATTATTACCTAATAATAGGTTAGCAGACCCATGACTAAGAGAGGACTGCAGTGTTGAAGGGATCGGATATTGAGGCAGAGTGAAATAATTCCTGCGTGCCGAACCGGGTCAGTGGCTGCTGGTCAGAACAGGAGGACCCGGAGCTGAGAGTCCAGAGGGAGAGAGTCTGACCTGAGAGCAGGTCCACAGCAGAATCCGGGTTAGTTTAGGGAGGGAGAGCAGACGGGACGAGGCTATTTCCATTAGAGGAATTTAAACAACATGTTATTATGCAAAATTCACTTTTCACTTTGATTACAGTGACTACATGTTCTACCACAGTTGTATAACTAACGATAATGTGTAATACTTTCTGTTTTTGTACAGAAGCACAAGCACCTGTAAATAGGCCAAGTGGAGTTTGGAAAGTGAAGCTCTTCCTGCTGCCAAATGCTGACCAAATTGTCCTTCCGCCTCATGCAGAATGCAGAAAACTAACCAGAGTGGGCTTAGGTAATGTACAATATGCATAGGTTCTGAATGCCAACATGCACTTGAATTGTATTTGTGTCTTTATTTACACGGAAAATGCAAACCTATTTACATTATTGTGGATTTGCAAGTGCTGGATATGACAATCAGTGTGCTGCACTTTTGCAGCAAAACTAAAGATTTGTTTATTTTACACTTTCAGCAGGACTTTTTCCATATTCAGCAGGACTTGCCCTGACTGATTTGGTGAAGCAAACACCCTAAAAATCCAATGCTTATGAAGAGCTAGTCCTTTCGACCACTCAAAGCGCTTTTACACTACATCTGCATTCACCAATCACATACATTCATACACTGAGCCTAAGTGCTCAAACGGAAACTAACATTCACACTCACTCATACACTGGCGGAATCGGGGTTCAGTATCTTGCCCAAGGACACTTCGACATGCAACCAGGGGGAGCCAGGGATTGAACCGCTGACCTTCTGATTAACGGCCAACCCGCTCTACCTCCTGGGCCACAGCCGCCTTGTATATACATTATGTCACGCATATTGACATCATGTGCTCAAATCATAACAAATACAGCAATGTTTATCGTTCATGACCTTCAAGACACAATAACGCTTTGAATCGAGGTCATTAACTAGTGAAAAGAAGTAAATGATTGAGTCATTGTATTGATTTATTGACAACTATTTTTTTTTTGAATTTGACAGGGATCCCGAGTCATGATTTGCCAGGGGAAGGCTCACAAAGATGTTATGCACAACTTTCCTGGACTCTCCCAGAGTTTAATAATTACATTTGCCAAAGCTTTCCCACAGTTAGCCTGAATGTAATTGGATTTCATCTCGCCAGAGCTGACAAGTCCAGGGTTCTGAGTAAAATTCAGGCAAATACACTGGAGGAGGTGAGGACAGCAGTTGGCAGAAGCAGGGTGTATATTATTCCCCAGACCAATATTACACTGCCACAGGTGAGTTGTTGTTGTATTTTCTCGCCAGCACTCCTTTTAATGTTAGCACACTGATGATAGTTACTAAACAGGCTTTTTGTTTTGTCCGTCAAGATCCCAGGACCTGAAAGAACTCGTACCCTGCCAGAAACATCTCCACCTGATGGACCTGAGTCTCTACCTGCTTCTTCATCATCCACACCACCAATGGCCACACCCACTACTTCACCATCAGCCATCAGATCTGCAGTCTCACCTGCTGCCCCCCCAGCAATTCATGTAGGTCCAGCCCTGTTCCCCGCACCATCAGCCATCAGACCTCCGGCCTCACCCGCTGTCCCCCAGGTCACACCGCCTGCTCCTACAGCACCCATCGGCATGCCACCGGTCACATCTAGTGCAAGTTCCCAGTCCCCTCCCCTTAGCGTCATGTCCCTGTCTTCGACGATGGACAGTGATGCGGGATCACCGAGGACAGACACGAACCCATCACTCGTAAGTTATTGTAAAGCAATAATACATTTGTATGTACTTTTGATAATTCACACCAAAGTAAAGAGTAATCTTAAAATCCTAGTTAAAAAGTCATCCTTTTAGTTTAGTTTTCAAAGCTAACCTCAGTGAAATATGTAAATGGTCATTCTTGTCAACCAACAGGAGGCAAGTTTGGATCCTGCACAGTGGGTGAACGCTGGCACCCCAGAGGTAAGTTTTAGTTCTGTGATAAGTCGCATTTAGGATGTTTAGCAAATATTGATATTTTGAGACATTTTCATTTCATGCACAATTTGTACCTTCTAGGTCTTTTACAGAAGGGCCCGTATGGAACCACTCAACAGGTCTGTCATAGGTTTACAAACAGGAACCGTGTGTGACACTGCATTCACATAAACAGTCTCAATACTCATCTTTAAATTTGACAGAGAATATCAGAATACGCATGTAGATTACCAAGACCAGTAGTCTGCAAAGACATTTGGGTCCAAAAAAGGCCTGACTATGTAATACTGACGCTGACAAATAAAAAAAATCTGAGCTTTTAGGACTCCTGTCAATGACCTTGTTATTGCGGACCCTGAGGAAGCGGAGGAGGACGACATTATTGCAGTTCCATTTGAAAGTGACAGTCCTCCGTCGGTAAGTTAAATTTTTTTACACTGCATTCAACTGGGAGAATAGTTTACGTTTATATGTAATTTTTAAGGACACAATACATTACACATACACTATAATAAAAGAATGAGATATTGCCACTATTTAAAAAGGAAATTCAAAGACCAGACCAACCTTTTTTGCCAGTCATTTCTGACGTACTTTTTACATTTGATGTATTTTAGGAAGATGTGGATCTTGCCATCATTTTGAGGACTTTTCAAGAGGATCACCTTTCTCACGGCCTGGTATCCACCATTTGTGTCAGGAGGAGAAAGCTTCTGGAGAGTGCCGTTAAAGCCATCTCCAGAAACGCTTTCTGTTGGACCCACTCACCACTTATTGAGTTTGTAGGAGAAGACGCAGATGATATGGGGGGACCGCAGCGAGAGTTTTTCAGGTCAGAATACCTAAACTAATTTCTTCAGTGTTTTAGAACAAATGTTTGCATGGGGAGCTGCACAGTAATACACATCGCTGTATTTCTCTTTTCTGTCCATTTACTCTAGACTCTTGATGATAGAGGTACAGACCTCCCTGGGCATTTTTGAGGGAAAGGCCGGCCAGCTCTTTCTTAGTTACGACCAAGCAGCACTAGACCAGCGTAAATATTTCAGAGGTGGCAACCTCATCGCTTGGTCGATTGCCCACGGAGGTCCGTGTATCAGAGCCCTGGACCCCAGCCTCTTCCAGCTGATGTGCGGACAGGAGCCTCCGCTGGAGCAGTTTGACTGGCGTGTGCTCCTGACCCAGATGTGCAAAGCAAAGTCAACAGGGTACTTTGTAATTATCATGTGAATATTTATTTGGATTTTAAACAAACATTTTTTTACTTTGGGTCGCTGTTGACAAAAGAACATTTAATGTCTAGCAGGACAAACACTTGCTCAATCTGGGACTCCTGCTACATTATTGTCACTCAGATTTCTGTCCAAGATCCTACAGTGCAAGACTGCAGGGGACCTGACTCAGCTCCAGCAAGACCTGGGGGACTGGATTGCAGAGTGCGGCGTCCCAAGCGTATTTAGTGCCACAGTTGAAGACATACCAAAAGTCTACGCATATGTAGTGAAGCACTACATCTTTCTCAGGTAAACACATTTTACAGTTGTAACTACTACAAAACACTGTCAATATAAAAAAATGTATGTTTCTGCACTTATTTTTTGGTTTGGGTCAGAGTTTGATACATTTATTCCCCAGTATAGCATCAAAGAAATCAAAAAATTGTTGATGTTGCAAATTACCAGGACAGAAAGAGAAGCTGTGAGCTGAGGATCAGTTGGACATTTGCGTATTGTTTGTCAAACAGCAGACAGATGTACTGGACCTCTGCAGGTGTGCTCCTGGGTTCTCTCTTCTCTTTCTGTCCTGGGTTGGCCGCTGAAACTGGAGAGCCATTGTAAACATATAATTAAGAAACAGTGTCATTATCATTTTGATGCGGTTGATCAGTCTTTCCCACAATTTGTGGTGTGATTCCAAACTTGTGCACGGTGATGTACATGTTTTATCTCTGTCGCTTTACAGAACGGCCAAGATGATCCTCCAGTTCACAGACGGAATGAATGCATTCGGGAAGCTGTGGGACCTGGTGAGGAAGAACTGGATTGCCTTCCTGCCTTTGTTCACCAACATGCAGGAGCCCATGTCAAAGGCAGCCTTCAAGGCCCTCTTCAGTTACAACTACAGCAGGAGAGGCAGCAACCATCGCGAGGCAGAGGAGGACACCATCTACTGCTGGGAGATGGTGCTTAACATGATTGAAGGTACGTTTATATTCCTTTATGAAAATGTTAGAGCACTAATTATGAAACCAAACATCCATGAATGTACTGTGACAGAAAGAAAATACAAAGTGTTTTACCAATTTAGGAAAATGATCTTACGCCAATGTACCAAAGCCATTACAACAAGGTACACATTTAGACGTGATCAAAAGTACCTTGTGTCTCAGTGACTGTACTCTGAAGCCAGTCAGGTTTATATTCTCTACATTGTGATTAAAGGAAATACAGTTCTGATCTTGTAAAGTTTGACATTTTTTAAAAATGAAAATGTCACTTAGATGCTTACGTTTTCTTCTGATAGACAAAGTGACTGACCTCAAATTCGAAGACCTTCTGATTTTCACCACTGGAGCAGACGAGGTTCCTCCCCTGGGCTTTCCCAGGAAGCCCTCCGTCGACTTCTATGAACAGGAGGCAGGCCTGCGCCGTTTGCCCTACGCATCTACCTGCACGATGTGCCTGTACCTGCCGAGAGGCGTCAGTCAAGAGGAGGAACTGCACGAGATGCTTTTACTGGCCACAAGCTCTTTGGGATTTGGAAAGGTGTAGAAGCTTTGATAAGCAGACGCTCCCAGGCAGTTAGCAGTAGTAATTAATGTGTAAGTAATGAAAGCGATGTTGTGTTTGTGTTAAAGAAATATAAACCTTTTAATTAATAAATAAATAAAACAGTAAGCGTTTGTGGTGTGTGTTTGTTAAAAAAAATATATTACAAATAAAATAAACCAAACAGCCTGTGTGGTGTGTGTGTGTCTGTTAAAAAAAAAATATATATATATAATATAATATATATATATAATATAATTTAAATAAAATAAAACGGTAAGTGTGTGTGAGTTTAAAAAAAATATATATATATCTATTAAAAATAAAATAATCTCTGAATCTCTATTTGAATGCGGGGTCAAAAACTGCTGCTCACAGAAACTTAGATAGTCTTTGGGTGAGCTTTTATAGGGACTGAATGATGCAATGAAACAGCATGTCTGGCTCTGTAAGAGAGAAACTCTGGGTCGTTGAAGAAAACCTGTAAGTGAACAGGTTAGGGTCACAGAGAACCCTGTTTGCAGATTGCAATTTGACACCATTCAATGTGTCAATTCTGTCATAATTTTTGTTGCTCCATATTTGTAGGGGGGTATAATCTGTACAACTGGGTAAACACAAATGAATGATGATATGTTTTTAATGTCCTCTACACATTTGTACCCATCGGTGTTCTTTGGGGTCAGATTGACCCCACCTGTTTTAGCAGTATTAAACATATATGTAAGCAGAAACATTTTACACACATTTGTTGTGGTTGTTTTGGATGCAACTGAGGTCACCATGACATGCAATGTTATAATATCCTTCAGGACCTTATATTGGTAAGCTAGTGTCTCATGGGTGTGTTGTCATTCAGTAGACAGCTAGAGGAGTCTGGGTCAACATTATATGCTGTAAATCATAACGATGAGCCATTAAAAACAGATCCATACACATTACTTATGGTTATATAAACATCAACATGAAAGACTGTGCCAATGTTGCTATTTCATAATAAACTTTGATAAAAGTGAACCTGGTAGTTTATTTTTCTGCTGAAGGCCTGCTCATTGTTCAGCTGTATGTGAATGTAAATAAATAATTACATCTTTAAAAGGCATTTATTTTGAATCACAGAGTGGATACTTCCCTCCCAGTATTTCTTTTATAAAACATGATGTAAATATGCATTTTCAGACTTTATTCTGCATATATAAGCAAAGAGCTGGCAGTTAACAACACTGAAAATTGATCAGGCTTTAAAGGGTTAAATTTTGGCGGCAGGAATTCAAACTGGCCAGCCAATAGGAAGGTTCCATGATTTGCATTTAGTGCAACTAGTACTACTAGTAGACCATTTTAGCTCTTACTAGT